GGACTCTCCTCCACTGAACCCCACTCATTTAATTTTGATATCATCTTCCCCATGATGAGTTTATACGAACATTGATGTCATAAGGAGAGTGGAGTGAGTGTAACAATGTGAATGTCTCTTTCAGTATGGGCCCGCTGCGTGACAAGCTGACCAATCAGGGACTGACCAACATCAGCTACATCATTGTGAATGACCAGAGCTCCCTCTCCAGGATTCTGTTCCCGAAGCTGGTGACACAAGCGCCCCCAGGGGTCCCCGTGTACCAGCAGCTGCCCGAGCAGGAAGATGTGTGGGAGGTTCTGGATGGAAGCAAGGACGACTTTCTCATCTATGACAGGTAAATGGTGAATGCAAGACACGCAGAGCCACGGCGCACGCAGAGCCACGGTGCACACACGGAGTCATGGCTCACACAGAGCCACAGTATACACGGAACTACGGAACACACGGTGCACACAGTACACACAGAGCCAGAGTACACACGGAGCCACGGCGCACACAGTACACACGGAACCACAGTACACACGGAGCCACAGAGCACACAGAGCCACAGTGCCCACAGAGCCACGGTACACACAGAGCCGCAGCACACACAGAGCCACGGCGCACACAAGGAGCCACAGTGCACACAGAGAGTCACAGTACACACAGAGCCACGGTGCACACATAGCCACGCCGCACACAGAGCCACGTACATACAGAGCCACAGCGCACACAGAGAGTCACAGTACACACGGAGCCACAGCGCACACAGAGAGCCACAGTACACACAGAGCCACGGCCCACACAGAGCCACGGTACATACAGAGCCACGGCGCACACAAGGAGCCACAGTGCACACAGAGAGTCACAGTACACACGGAGCCACAGCGCACACAGAGAGTCACAGTACACACAGAGCCACGGTGCACACATAGCCACGCCGGACACAGAGCCACGGTACATACAGAGCCACAGCGCACTTTGAGAGTCACAGTACACACGGAGCCACAGCGCACACAGAGAGCCACAGTACACACAGAGAGTCACAGTACACACGGAGCCACGGCGCACACAGAGAGCCACAGTACACACAGAGCCACGGCGCACACAGAGCCACGGTACATACAGAGCCACGGCGCACACAAGGAGCCACAGTGCACACAGAGAGTCACAGTACACACAGAGCCACGGTGCACACAGAGAGTCACAGTACACACAGAGCCACGGTGCACACAGAGAGTCACAGTACACACGGAGCCACAGAGCACACACAGAGTCACAGTACACAGCTACAGCAGAGAACCAGCCACAGCATACTTGTGGCCCTCGGAATGCAGGTTGGTCTTCCGGGCCCTAGATTGTATGACCCATGCATTTTTTTTAGCCTGCAAGTACATAACTTTATATCAACATGAAACCTCCTTTGACATGAAGTTGCCCAATCACACGGAGCATGCGGGTCAGAGACATCTTCTATGGACTTTATACCTTTACGTAGCTTTGCGTCAGACGGCAAAAACAAGCAAACAAGTAATTGGCTCCGAGCCGGCGGCACGTCCACGAGAAGAGACCCGACTCTTCATGTTAAGCCGTTGCCCCTTCATTCAACTCGCCCCTCAGGGGGTAATAACAGATTACATTAATTGGAGGGTAAAATGCACCAAATTAGATATTTCTATTAAACCTTTAAAGCAGGGGCAGCCAAACTCCAAACCCTCCAGCTGTGGGTGAAACTACAAATCCCATGATGCATCTCTCTCTGGGAGTCATGTCTGTGGCTGTGAGAATCTTGCAATGCCTCATGGGATTTGTAGTTCCACCACATCTGGAGGGCCGGAGTTTGGCTACCCCTGATTTAAAGGCTCAATCCACCCCTCACCGACTTCCCCCCTCACTCCACCCCCACCAACTCCACCCCCTCACTCCACCCCTGAAATGAACCATCTCTCTCATCTCCTGGAGACTTCATCCATGACATTTCTGGACAATTTGGGGAACATGGGCAGAGAGCTGTCACCCTATAACAGCAGCCCGTGGCTCTGTGTGCGCCGTGTGTACTGTGGCTCTGTGTGCATACCGTGGCTCTGTGTGCATACGGTGGCTCTGTGTGCGCCGTGGCTCTGCGTGCGCCGTGGCTCTGTGTGCGCCGTGGCTATGCGTGCGTGTGGCTCTGTGTGTTCCGTGGTGCTGTCAGCAGGTGCCTGAACAAGGGCCTTCGTGGGAGGATCACCAGAGATGCTGATTTTCCTTCTTAATTGACATGAACATGCTAAAGCGGGGGTAGGGAACCTTGGCTGTTGTGGAACTACAAGTCCCATGAGGCATTGCTTAACAGCCACAGACTTGACCCCCAGGGGGATGATGGGAGTTGTGGTTCAACCACAGCTGGAGTGCCGAGGCTGAGCTGAGCTTCTATGAGATTTTACTGATTGGGATCAACTTTAATTCTCATCATTTCCTTCCCAGATGTGGACGCCTCACCTTTCATATCCGGCTGCCTTACAGCTACCTCCACTTCCCCTTCGTAGAGGCGGCCATTAACACCACTTACTATGAAGACTCTTGCCAGAACTGCAGCTTCTACGCCAATGTCACCTGGACCGCCAAGGTAACTGCTAACGCGCAACATCCGGCTGTAGCAATGACTCCCTAAGAAGCTGCTGGAATGCTGGGTTCTCCTGCCCTTCCCCCTGGGGGGGGGAGGAGGGGAGCTGAGGACTTCATTGAGGAAGGAATAAGGGAAGTGCTGATTATGCAGGTTCAGCCTTGACAGGGTTAACCCATTAGACACCACAGACATGATGTTACAACAAAGTCCATGACGCGCATTCCCCTCTGTCGCCTGTGAATGGCCCAATACCCAAATGCACTGGGTGGGTGAGAGGGGACACGGCCCTGCTGAGAACAATGAAACCACCACAGTAATAAAAGAGAAATGCAATGAACTGTGCGGCCCATCTACTATTCTTAGGCCCTATCTAAGCACCGGCCAGTGGGGTAGCATACATAAAGTCTGCCGGCGGTGGGGCCCTTCGATTCTACATTGGAGTATTCAACCTCCAGGCGAGCATACGTGTAATACAGAAGTAAAGGAAACCCCATACTGTGTCCCAAGGATCCGAGGGGTGATGAAGGCAGTTGTAAAACAGGCTGTTCTATCCCCTAGACACCTCTGTATTCCTAACAGGGTGGAGGTAACCCACAATGCCCTGGGTGCCCGGGGAGAGGGGCCCCACAACCTTTGGAGCCCGGGTGGAGGTGGCCCACAATGCCCTGGGTGCCCGTGGAGAGGGGCCCCACAACCTTTGGAGCCCGGGTGGAGGGGGCCCACAATGCCCTGGGTGCCCGGGGAGAGGGGGCCCACAAGTCCCTGAGCCTCCACTCTCAAGCCTGTGCCTGTATCTTCTTCTCCCCACGTGTTCCTCTTTCTCTCTTCTTGCTCACATCACGGACCGCTCTCCCCGTCCCGGCCGCTCTGTTGCTGCTCCCGGTTTCCTCTTGCACAGCCACACGTCAGTGTGGTACTGATTGCGTGTCTGTGGACATGTATCTGCCGTGTCAGTGTAGTGCTGATTGTGTGTCTGTGGACATGTATGTGCCGTGTCAGGGTAGTTCTGATTGTGTGTCTGTGGACATGTATGTGCCGTGTCAGGGTAGTTCTGATTGTGTGTCTGTGGACATGTATGTGCCGTGTCAGGGTAGTTCTGATTGTGTGTCTGTGGACATGTATGTGCCGTGTCAGGGTAGTTCTGATTGTGTGTCTGTGGACATGTATGTGCCGTGTCAGGGTAGTTCTGATTGTGTGTCTGTGGACATGTATGTGCCGTGTCAGGGTAGTTCTGATTGTGTGTCTGTGGACATGTATGTGCCGTGTCAGGGTAGTTCTGATTGTGTGTCTGTGGACATGTATGTGCCGTGTCAGGGTAGTTCTGATTGTGTGTCTGTGGACATGTATGTGCCGTGTCAGGGTAGTTCTGATTGTGTGTCTGTGGACATGTATGTGCCGTGTCAGGGTAGTTCTGATTGTGTGTCTGTGGACATGTATGTGCCGTGTCAGGGTAGTTCTGATTGTGTGTCTGTGGACATGTATGTGCCGTGTCAGGGTAGTTCTGATTGTGTGTCTGTGGACATGTATGTGCCGTGTCAGGGTAGTTCTGATTGTGTGTCTGTGGACATGTATGTGCCGTGTCAGGGTAGTTCTGATTGTGTGTCTGTGGACATGTATGTGCCGTGTCAGGGTAGTTCTGATTGTGTGTCTGTGGACATGTATGTGCCGTGTCAGGGTAGTTCTGATTGTGTGTCTGTGGACATGTATGTGCCGTGTCAGGGTAGTTCTGATTGTGTGTCTGTGGACATGTATGTGCCGTGTCAGGGTAGTTCTGATTGTGTGTCTGTGGACATGTATGTGCCGTGTCAGGGTAGTTCTGATTGTGTGTCTGTGGACATGTATGTGCCGTGTCAGGGTAGTTCTGATTGTGTGTCTGTGGACATGTATGTGCCGTGTCAGGGTAGTTCTGATTGTGTGTCTGTGGACATGTATGTGCCGTGTCAGGGTAGTTCTGATTGTGTGTCTGTGGACATGTATGTGCCGTGTCAGGGTAGTTCTGATTGTGTGTCTGTGGACATGTATGTGCCGTGTCAGGGTAGTTCTGATTGTGTGTCTGTGGACATGTATGTGCCGTGTCAGGGTAGTTCTGATTGTGTGTCTGTGGACATGTATGTGCCGTGTCAGGGTAGTTCTGATTGTGTGTCTGTGGACATGTATGTGCCGTGTCAGGGTAGTTCTGATTGTGTGTCTGTGGACATGTATGTGCCGTGTCAGGGTAGTTCTGATTGTGTGTCTGTGGACATGTATGTGCCGTGTCAGTGTAGTGCTGATTGTGTGTCTGTGGACATGTATGTGCCGTGTCAGTGAAGTACTGATTGCGTGTTTGCATCATGTGACGTGTCCTGTGTCTCTTGTCTCCCCCAGCAGAATGACGTTTCCTCTAAGGATCCCATGACGGGGAAGATGGAAAAGCCAGAAAAGGATAAACCAATCGGCAACAAAGGTGATAAATCTGGTGAGCACCACGGGCACAGCGAGGGCCCCGGGACAGGGGGACACAGGCCCCACCATCCGTCCAATCATGAAGAAGTAACCGACAACAATGCACATCGCCCAATCACATCCAAAGGAAACACGGATGAAAAGTCTAATCGACCAATCCACAATCACGGACCACAATCCTTTGCGGCTCATATTTAACCACTTCAGCTCTGGCGACTCGTACAAGTCCGCTATGGGAGTGCTGAATCTGCGACAACTGTCACGGCAAAGTAATACATACACTGTGTATGTTTTTGGGACACACACATCTTTCCTTTGGTCTGATTGTCTTACAACAATAATTGTATTTTTTATGCGACAAATAGACCTAAAAAAACATAAAAAGTCACTTTCTTTCTATCCTTATGATGGATATAAAGTGTAATATATATATTTCAATCATTTGTCACTTTTATGACAATAAAATTATGATTCCAATACAAAGAATTACAAACTTGCTGACAGATTAAATAAAAGTGTTTTTATTTTCAATTTGTACATATCTGTACTGTAATTAACACGCAGCGCTCCGTCCATGACGGGTTACACGGCGGGGAGGATTTCTCTTCTGTGTAACCTGATAGAAGCCGTTCTGAATGGGGAAAAAGCTTCAGACATGAAGATGACAGCTTTTTCCTCCATAATTCTAGGTGAGGCTCGGCCCCCCCCCCCTGCCTCCCCTGACCGCACGTCCCTCCTTTAGTCTGGTTGAGTGAGGCACTGGGGATGAAGCTTTAGTATGGTTGAGTGAGGCACTGGGGATGAAGCTTTAGTATGGTTGAGTGAGGCACTGGGGATGAAGCTTTAGTATGGTTGAGTGAGGCACTGGGGATGAAGCTTTAGTATGGTTGAGTGAGGCACTGGGGATGAAGCTTTAGTATGGTTGAGTGAGGCACTGGGGATGAAGCTTTAGTATGGTTGAGTGAGGCACTGGGGATGAAGCTTTAGTATGGTTGAGTGAGGCACTGGGGATGAAGCTTTAGTATGGTTGAGTGAGGCACTGGGGATGAAGCTTTAGTATGGTTGAGTGAGGCACTGGGGATGAAGCTTTAGTATGGTTGAGTGAGGCACTGGGGATGAAGCTTTAGTATGGTTGAGTGAGGCACTGGGGATGAAGCTTTAGTATGGTTGAGTGAGGCACTGGGGATGAAGCTTTAGTATGGTTGAGTGAGGCACTGGGGATGAAGCTTTAGTATGGTTGAGTGAGGCACTGGGGATGAAGCTTTAGTATGGTTGAGTGAGGCACTGGGGATGAAGCTTTAGTATGGTTGAGTGAGGCACTGGGGATGAAGCTTTAGTATGGTTGAGTGAGGCACTGGGGATGAAGCTTTAGTATGGTTGAGTGAGGCACTGGGGATGAAGCTTTAGTATGGTTGAGTGAGGCACTGGGGATGAAGCTTTAGTATGGTTGAGTGAGGCACTGGGGATGAAGCTTTAGTATGGTTGAGTGAGGCACTGGGGATGAAGCTTTAGTATGGTTGAGTGAGGCACTGGGGATGAAGCTTTAGTATGGTTGAGTGAGGCACTGGGGATGAAGCTTTAGTATGGTTGAGTGAGGCACTGGGGATGAAGCTTTAGTATGGTTGAGTGAGGCACTGGGGATGAAGCTTTAGTATGGTTGAGTGAGGCACTGGGGATGAAGCTTTAGTATGGTTGAGTGAGGCACTGGGGATGAAGCTTTAGTATGGTTGAGTGAGGCACTGGGGATGAAGCTTTAGTATGGTTGAGTGAGGCACTGGGGATGAAGCTTTAGTATGGTTGAGTGAGGCACTGGGGATGAAGCTTTAGTATGGTTGAGTGAGGCACTGGGGATGAAGCTTTAGTATGGTTGAGTGAGGCACTGGGGATGAAGCTTTAGTATGGTTGAGTGAGGCACTGGGGATGAAGCTTTAGTATGGTTGAGTGAGGCACTGGGGATGAAGCTTTAGTATGGTTGAGTGAGGCACTGGGGATGAAGCTTTAGTATGGTTGAGTGAGGCACTGGGGATGAAGCTTTAGTATGGTTGAGTGAGGCACTGGGGATGAAGCTTTAGTATGGTTGAGTGAGGCACTGGGGATGAAGCTTTAGTATGGTTGAGTGAGGCACTGGGGATGAAGCTTTAGTATGGTTGAGTGAGGCACTGGGGATGAAGCTTTAGTATGGTTGAGTGAGGCACTGGGGATGAAGCTTTAGTATGGTTGAGTGAGGCACTGGGGATGAAGCTTTAGTATGGTTGAGTGAGGCACTGGGGATGAAGCTTTAGTATGGTTGAGTGAGGCACTGGGGATGAAGCTTTAGTATGGTTGAGTGAGGCACTGGGGATGAAGCTTTAGTATGGTTGAGTGAGGCACTGGGGATGAAGCTTTAGTATGGTTGAGTGAGGCACTGGGGATGAAGCTTTAGTATGGTTGAGTGAGGCACTGGGGATGAAGCTTTAGTATGGTTGAGTGAGGCACTGGGGATGAAGCTTTAGTATGGTTGAGTGAGGCACTGGGGATGAAGCTTTAGTATGGTTGAGTGAGGCACTGGGGATGTAGCTTTAGTCTGGTTGAGTGAGGCACTGGGGATGAAGCTTTAGTATGGTTGAGTGAGGCACTGGGGATGTAGCTTTAGTCTGGTTGAGTGAGGCACTGGGGATGTAGCTTTAGTCTGGTTGAGTGAGGCACTGG